CCCCCCCCCCCCCCCCCACACTCATCCAGGTAAGGCCCCTTTGAATGCATCTCATTGTTCAAAGTGGCAAAGCAGTGCAGACACAACTGGCTCTGGAGGAAACATTCCTTAATGCAGCTTTGCGTGCGTTTGCATTTGAATTTAACACTATCCACAGACATGTTGGCACCAGATATAAACTGAGCCCGACTGTGTGTCCGGGTCCTGTGTGTTTTGGTCATTTTACTGTAGAAGGAAACATGACGTGTGACTGAGCTTTCAGACAGTAGGCAGCACATTTTGCTCCAGAATACCTCGATGGTCTTGAGAGTTTATTGTCCCCTCCACAGATTCAACCTGAAGCCTGCTTCATGTTTCACTCTAGGGCCATTCGGTGAAGATGGAGCTGTGATTGGTCAAAAACCTCCAGCTTTGTCTGATGTATCCAGAGGACAGTATCCTAAAAGCTTTTTCACCAGCCATCATGCGTTTTGGCCAATTACAGCATTTTTCCTTTCTGATTTGCCTTCCAGACTGTTGTTCCCCTTTTTGTGTCCATTAAGTCCACTTTGGCTTAAACTAAAAAAAGATGCAATATGACGCTAATTAACTTTGATCCTGGAGTTTCTCTCTGATCTCTTGTTATTGCCTCTCTTCTTACCATTATTATTATTCTTAATTTCTTCAATTTGCCATCAATTTTCCTCTTGCGTCCATGCAGGTACTTTGCTCAGCCGTAGTCACAGGAACATGTAGCTGTGTAGAGATCTTCTTACATCCTTCAACAAACTAGTCAATAATTTGGTTTCTCAGCTCCTGAGACGGCGCTCTCCTTGGCTTTCTGCGGCCCATCATGTTCAGTGTGCTACAAACTAAAATGACAGACTCCACAAACAAATAGACTGACTGACTGGTATCAAGATTTAGTTTTTTATGCCCTATACCTACTCAGTTTTGTGGGTTTTTTGGGTTGTTGTTTTTTTTGAGCAACAAAGATAAAAAAAAAAAAATTAGGTTTCAAAATAACAAGCTGTCAAATCGGTTTCTAAATGCTTCATAGCACTGGGTAAAAACATTGTACATGTTGAAATTTTGATATAAATGTAAAAAAAATAAAAATATTGGGTTTGAGACACAGAATTGATGTAAATCATAAATATGCGTTATATTTCAGATGTAGTGCAGATTAAGGAATATTCACTGAAAGTGTTTTCTAAATCAAACAAGTCTTGTTTAATCTTATTCATATGAGACATGCATTTGCTTCAGTGGGTTTTGTGAAGGTATAATTGATGATGATGATTATTATTATTATTTTTTTAATAAGTTGAGGGAAAAGTGTTTTTAGACTTCTTTCAGCCATCTGCCCAGCAGTGTGATTCAACAGGTATTGGATTGGCAGTGCTGCATCAGTCAATTCATCCAGAAAAAACCTCCAGGCACTCCAACAACTTCTCAGACATGTTTAAAAAAAAATAAAAAATTGAATTGTGAAAGTTGTAGCCACCTATGTTTCGATGGCACTCTGCATACTCGAGTCTACCTTTCGATTCCTTCTTGCTCTCTGCCTTCTTTTTGTCAGTCGACTTTCTTCCGGTTATGCGCTGACCGTATATGTTTGGTTTCTCACAGGATTTGTCACTGTGAAGGAGATGATGAGAGTCCTCTGATCACACCGTGCCACTGCACAGGGAGTCTGCGCTTCGTCCACCAGGGCTGTCTGCAGCAGTGGATCAAGAGCTCAGACACCCGCTGCTGTGAGCTCTGCAAATATGAGTTCATCATGGAGACGAAGCTCAAGCCACTGCGCAAGGTGCGACTGACTGTGTTTGCATTGATTTAAGGACGAGCCAACGGAACCTCGCTCCATTTCTTTGATAAATTCACTCAGGGTTTTGTTCTGGCTCCATTTCCAAATGTTCTTACTAATTTGGCAAGCCGCGAAGCTGAAAAACCGTCTCCAATCTGTCACACAGATAACACAACCATGACTGTGTGCTTTGAAGCAGGGCACTGCAAGGGAGGAAGATGATTCATTTGAAATGGCTTAGAGGAAGCGTACATCTTTGAGAGGTTGTTATCAATTGCTGTGGTCTGAAGATAGCCGGACACTCTAATTAAAATTCTTCCACCCCTCATTAACTGCACAAAAGGCCTTAAACAAATGCTGCTCTTCTAATAGCTCCTCAACCCCATGGGTGAATGTTGACGTCTTTCACACATGAGCGTGCAGAGGAGATCGCGACGAAATGGGGATGATGGTCACGGCGTGAGGTGTCTTTTAACTGAGGATTTAGGTCGTGCTGCGACACGCTTTTAATGAAACCCACCCTGCAATTGGACAGTTTCATGACTGGAGTAATGGATTTGGGCGTTTTCAAAAAGCACAGCAGTTATTTACAGTAATAATCTGATAGCACTTACTTTTTTTTTTTTTTGTTTAATTGCTGGGCTCTTTTCCAGCATTGTTAACAGAGCTGCCTGGCAAACAGCTGGCTGCTCCCCAGTGCGCTGGGTTGCAGCGTGCCACTTCTCTTTCTGCGTCTTATTAACCTCGCCAAGAAATGCCGTGTAGCTCAGGTCTTCCCCTCAGCAGCTGAACGTTTTACTTCCGGTATTTCATCGCCAAAAAGTGCCAAGTTTAAACGACTGCCTCTGCTTTCTGTCTGCATGTTGTTTCCCCTCTGCTGCAGTGGGAGAAACTTCAGATGACGGCGAGCGAGAGAAGGAAGATCATGTGCTCGGTCACCTTCCACGTCATCGCAATCACCTGCGTGGTTTGGTCGCTCTACGTCCTCATCGACAGAACGGCAGAGGAAATTAAAACTGGTCAGCAGAGTTGCAGATACACACACACACACTCCAAAGACTCACCATAATCTTTGATAAATGTCTGTGTTAGACCATGCATTGTGTTGAATGAACCATTCAGTAGCGATTTTCCATAATCTACAAATCACTCACTCGTGCATTTACAAGACTAAAGATGGCATGAAAGTCTCCCTTGTGGTCAGAGTCGTGTGTAATTCGTGTGCAGAATCACAGCAGAGATGGAGATCTTTTTAGTGGCGATTGAAAACACGTTTATTCATGTTTGCTTTGAGGCTCGTGAAGGGGGGGGAAAAAATGCTCATCTGTTTACGCAGGGCAGTTCATTGTGAGCTGGTGTAAAAGGAAGAAACTGAGTCAGCAAAAGCATCCTCACAAGGACAAATGTGGCATGACTTGTGAGCATGTGGTTCTGAGCATTCATTATACACCATCTGTGTGTTCCAGGGAAAATTACATCTGTCGTCGTGACACATGCATGTACATTACCAAAGCTGAACAAAGCAGCTGACCAACTATTCAGCATGAAATGAATGTAGTAATTTACCTGGGTGGGAGGGGGGGGGGGATGCGTGTCATTTTGATAGCTGCTGCTGTTAGCTTTAGCTTAGCACTGGATAAAATCTGGCAACAGACGGCATCTGTAAATAAAAAGAAATTGACTTATCTTTTAAATGAATATTTCTTACGGACATCGTTTTATCTAACATTTGCTTTTGGATGATACTGTCTAAACTAGTTGAGTGAAAAATAGTTTTGCCTTATTTATTTTTGCCCCATAGTAACCGCTTACCTCACCAAAATAGTATCAAAAAATGAAGGGACTTTACTGTTGTTTAAAACTTAAGAAAATAAACAAGTTTATTGAAGAAGTTGGTTGAAGCCCCTTTTGCATTTTTCTTGACCTGCTTACCAAACAAGCGAAAAATGTATCTGTCAATTTTGATGACTGACATTAGCTGCAAATTGGCGTAACATGGAGCAGTTGAAATTGAATTAACTCATTAAAATTTGCCACAATTAAAATGAATGTCTAATTAACTTAGCACATGTCAGTAAGTGTAAAGTAGGCTTTTACAGTAGTAAAGAGGGCATTTCTTTAAACATTTTTTTCTCTTCTCTCCTTTAATTTCTTGATTTTTAAAAAAAAGAAAGGTTGGGTAGCTTTGTCCTATAACAACAATAAACCTGAATTTCTCTAGGGCCAGTGAAAAATTGTGCAAAACGAAGTGAAATGGGTTTTGCGATTGCTTGAAACTTGATCAAATAAAGTAGCAGGTCAGGACCTCTTTCACATGTTTGATATGCTGCTTCTTGCATCCGTTCTGAGCAAATAGACAGCAGCACTCTGCTTTATTGACAGCACCATCAGGACTTAAAATGTAGATGGATGCATTAATGCAGAGCCATTATGGCTTTGGCTGGCTGTGCGTCTCCTGTTACTCATCGCTCCATACAGCGTTTCTGAGACAGTGTGCAGATGGAGCAGCAGGCTGTTTGTTAAGCTCAACCTGATGAATCAGAAATGTCCGAGTCTCTGAGGACTGTCAGGTTCAGTCGCCATGGTGATGTACAGTAATTTCCCACCAGTGCTGCTCCTCTGCTGCTGTTTTTTTATGCTTTAGTTTGCTCAAAGCTGTGATGACCAATCCGATATGTCTGCCCAGTTCAGCACCCTAAAACATTTGCTCATAATTTTAATTGGTGCAACAGGTTTTGCCTGATGAAACACATTGTCAGATGTTACCGCTTGTACTGTTTGACCTAATATTAATTTTGGAAATCTGTTTTCGTGTTTTGTAATACGTGACACTCTCTTTACTCATGCAGCCCGAAGAATCCCAGGTAAACATTTCCACTTTGGCCTTTTGACTTTCAGAGTACTTTTTTTTGTTTGTTTGTTTGTTTTTACCCCTTCCCGTCAACTTTTTGTTAATTATATCCAATTATTTTGCAGCTACACTTTACACCCTGTCCCCCTCTCTTTCTACCCTTTTCTGTCTTAATTTTAGGCTAAGCAACATCTCTCTTTAGCAGAATCCAGACAAAGTCGAAGAACACACTGATTTATCTTCTGTTATACATTGTGACTAGAAGTTTTTAGTAGAGCGTAATTTCACTCAATAATTCCCTTCGTTCACAAATTTTCATCAAGCAAGGTTTATAATAAAGTGCCTAACATGTCGTTTTAGCTCGAATGGTGCAGTCATCATGTTTGCCTTCTTGCCTTTTTAATATCAGAGCGAAAATCGCGTTTCTCTACACAAACATGGAATTGACTTTGATTCTGCTTTGCTCTCAGTAAAGACATTTTGAAAAAGAAATATATAAGGGCAAAATAGTTTGCTTGCAAATATGTATACCTTTTTTCCCCCCCAAGAGAGAAAAGTAAGGTAAATATTGCTTTTTAATTAACATTGTATCATCAAAGATGAAACTTGGTAACTCCAGCTTGAAGCTTTACATCCTTCCTAGCTGTGCTGTAGGAGACCAATATTTCAGGTTCTGTGCCGTGTATTATTTTGACAAATATTTGTGTTTTCCAGTTGTGTGAAAACCCTAAGGCTGCATGTGGGAGCCAAATAAATAAGCAGAAATGCTGTAACCACCCCTAGGGCAAACAAAATGTTTTTCTAATGTAGGAAATCTACAACAAATACTGTTCAGCTCTTCCACTCTATCCTCCTTATTTTTTAATTTTTGGAAAATCATCCAATAAAACATCCTCTTTTTTTAGCTTTTAGTATTAGAAATGAAGATGAGGATATGCAGTAGCATTCACAAATCCCAAATTTTATATTTCCAAAGTCAGATCTTTACTAAAATTGGGTCAAGTCAGACACCCGGCTGTTCAACAATATTAAATTTATGCTTTTGATTGAATCTGTCTCAGTGGTTGACTGAAAATCAAATCTGTCAAAACCTTGTAATAAAATAAACGCATGTATAACATCTCATGTAGATTTTTTTTTTTTTTGCCCTTTAAATTATGATTAAATCCTGGCAGCTCTAGACTTTAAACACTGCATGCTGAGAAAATGATCAAGAGTTGTAAGATTTTACTAGTTTAAAAAAAAAAAATCAGCAACTTGCATATATTTTCCTTAGATGTTTACAACTATAGTGCGAAGCAAATGTATTGATTACCCTTGATTTTGTTCAATTTAACTTTTTGACAGAATGCAACTGCGAATTTCAATACATGTTATGGATACAATATGACAAACCAACGCAATGTAGTTTATAATTGTAAAGTTATAACTGCTTTTACATTTTACACAAAAAAAAATCTGAGATCTGGGATATATATATATATATATATATATATATATATATATATATATATATATATTTATTTTTTTTTTTTTCATTCCTGCAAACTTAACATTTTTATCACCATAACAGCTGTTAGTATTTTGGGGGTATGTATTAAACATCTTTGCACATCCACATATTAAAACATTTTTCTTCTTTGCAGAATAGTTCAAACTCAACCAGTTGTAGTTTGAGAGCGTTTGTGAATATCAGCTTTCGATCATTTACACAGATTGTTGATTAAATTTAGTCCAGGGCCACTTTTAACCCGTCAGCTCTGACCTACTTTGTCCTACTGGAAGGTGAACCTCCACCCTATTCTTGAATCTTCGGCGGCCTCAGCAAAGTTTTATACCGTTTGCCTTGTGTTTTGCTCCATATGTCTTCCCATTTTGCTGACCAGTCCTCCCCACAGCATGATGCTGCTGCCGCCACCTTCATTCATGTCTTAAAGTCTGAATGGTGTGCTCAGGGTGTTGGATTTCCATTTTGCTTGTTTGTGTCTCTTAGACGGTTTAGTTTTGGTCTCATCTAAGCAGACTGACTTGTTGCAAACTGCAGAGGTGGTTTTCTAATCCCTCCATATTTGTTGAGTGACTTACTGATGGTTATGTTCTCCATACTTGATCCGGAGGCCTTTGCAGCTCCCTCAGAGTTGCCTTGAGCACATTGGCAGCTACTCATTACTGTTCCTTCTTTGAGAATATACTCTGAGTATATATAGGCGCAAACTCTGTTAGATGATATTAAGGCTTTTATTTAGGAATTTAAAAAAAGGGCTGAATAGACATGACACACTTTCTAGACTTTCTTTTTTTTTAAATGTTGTACTTTCCACTTTGTTGGTTTATGGTATATAATTTGACATGTGAAAGGTTGTTTGGTGAGGCTCCCTTTGCTCCATATAAGCTTGAATTAAATAATATAGTTCTGCTTTGATCTGCTTTGCTTTAAATTTTTCATCATGCCATCTTTCTCTGTTCCCTCAGTTTTTCTTTTTTTTTTGCTTCCTTTCAGAATGCATCCCATCGAATCACATAATTACAACTTTTCTTTCTTTCTTTCCAAACTTTTTGCACATTTTATTGCCGTCTGCTTTGTGTTTGACTCTCACACACAATTCCCTCTTTTTTTTTTTTTTTTTTGTCTGGTTCTCTCATTTTCAGGTATCCTGGAATGGCCTTTCTGGACCAAGCTGGTGGTGGTGGCCATCGGCTTCACGGGCGGATTGGTTTTTATGTACGTCCAGTGCAAGGTCTACATCCATCTATGGAAGAGACTCAAGGCCTACAACCGTGTCATATACGTGCAGAACCGGCCGGACACGTGTAAAAAGGTGGCGCTGGAGAAGCCCCCGCTCATGGAGCCGAGCCTGGAGAGCAAGGAGGCACTGGCCCCTACCCAGTCGGACACAAACTCCTCCCAGTACACAGAGACAGAAGAATATAGTATGGAGGTCCTCCACGTCTGACACAGAGTTCATTTCATAAGCCCCCCACCCCACCCATTTGTGCTTGTAGAACCAGGCGGGAGGGAAGAGTAGCGCTCGTCGCTCCCCTTCTTCTGATGGTAGACCTGACCCGCTGTCCTCTCCCGATTCCACCTGCACTCTCCGTCCGCACTCTGACCTTTCCTTCCCCGGGACCGGACTGTTTGTCCTGACTTCTATAAATGTCACACAAGGCCTGGAGCTCGGCACTCTGCACGCAATGTTCACGTTCCCCGTCGGATGAGCAGATCAGAGACACAAAGACTCCCTGGAAGCTCATCTTCCATGTTTTTGGAGTTGGGTTTTTTACCTCCTGTAAGTGTTGGATCAGTACACCGCCATACATCTCTGGAGCGTTCCACATACTGCCATCTCTGCTCCGGTTCAATTCTGACCGGGCCTCGGAAATGCATTGAAGCACTTTTTTGTTTTTTGTTTTTCTTGAAGCTCTACAACAACTACTCCCCTCCCTTTTAATTCTCCTCCCTTTTTATTCTTGAATGACCTAAATCTTTTTGTTTTGTTCCTTGGGAAGAGCACAGAGAAACTTTTTCCTCAAATGCACATACTCCTACAGACTTACCCCTTCACTTTGATGGCAAAAACAAAGAGGAACTGAGATGGGTAAAAGGAGGGAAACCTGCTGAAGGAAATGGAAAGGGTTGACATCCCATTCCTCTGCCCCCAACACATGAACTTTTTGAAGGCTTTGAGAATGTAATCTTTTCTAAAAATGATTAAAAACATAAACAAAATAAAAAAAAAAATATTTTTTTTACTAGTAACTGGACATTGCAAGAATAATTTCCATGTCTTGAGGAGGTAATGTGAGCCTGCAGGTGTATAACAGCATTACTTTTTCTTTTTGTTGTTTTTGGGGTTTAATATCTTGTGAATGACACAGTATTTACAGTGTGATATTCCATGTGCAGTTTTTAATGTGAGCTGATGTGTTTGCTTAGTCATGCGACATTACCACTTCATGCCTCGAGAAATGAACAGCTCACTGTTTTCAGTTTCCTCTTTTGTTGCTTCCACAGTGCAGCCCAGAATTAATTAAACCTTCACAGCCTGCTCTGATTAAGAACCCAACAGATTGTTAATGTGGCTTTTTTTTTTAACATTTGCCTCATTTTCGCCTCTGCAGGACAGGGCATTTAGATTCCACCCATATCCGTTTTTACAGAGAGTTTTTAGAGGACTGGAGAAAATGGATAAATGGCCGTCGAGTTGTTTCCAGACACTCGCATGCTCCATTTTGTCTATTTTAGTATTATGTCACCAGACAGACAGCATTAAGCCTATGATTTCTTGGTTGTTGTTGTTGTTGTTTTTTCCATCACATTACATCCAGCTACATGTTATTTGGTATAAAGGTGATCCTTCCTTTTACAACCTTTAACTTTGAAAACAATGAGCTGGCTGTGTCGCCACCTGCTGGGGCGCAGCTGAAATTGCACTCTAAAACAGGCAGCGGTTGATTTCTCTAGGCTCTGTTTCTTTCACTTGTGGAAACTCAGCAATGCAAGATTTTACAGCCATTCAAACAACAAAGAACATTTTTAAAAAAGTGTCACCGATACCAGTGTGCTATCTGTGACCAATAAGGATGAGTTACTGCTCTGCAGCAGCAATAATTTAGAAGCACAGTTTTTGTTTTTTTGCTTTGTTTTGTTTTTTGTGATAAAACATACTATATTTATGTACAAGCCCATAGTGATTTAAGATCTGTTTAAATAGAAAGCATGAGCCAGGAGAGGCGTCGTCGCCGCCGCCGCAAGTCAGGTTTGATTAAGAACCGGAGACGCTTCCCAGAATCTTCAAAACCCAAAAGGCTCAGTGCAATTAGACAGATTTAAGAAAGTGCAATTAAGTTTTTTGTTTTTTTGTTTGTTTGTTTTGTTTTTTCTGTTGTTCTTTTACTCTAAAGTAAAGGTGTTTAAAGGTCAGGGTGTCCTCTGGGTGGAAAACGAAATTCTTTATTTTTGTGCTTGTATTTATTTTTATCAGAAATATGGTACACTTTGTCCATTTTAAACCCACCCTTCTATTACCAGTTTTTACGCAACTTGCATCTATCCTCTTTTTCTTTTTTCTTCAGGCATGTACAAGAGAAAATCTTTTTGGCGCTTTTGTTTTTTGCACAGTTTTTCATTCATATATTTAGTGATTTCTTTTTTCTCTCTCTCTTCTTTTAAAATCAGTTGTTAGAACTTGTTTTAAATATGCAACCAGAGCTAAAAGCCACAACATTTAACTTTTAGAAACAAAATCACCTCGGACTTAAGCTGCAGTTTCCCTGAGAGAGAAGATTAAACGTCAACTTTGTGGTTTCCACTTACTTTCAACTCTCAGGAGCTGGCTCCTTTCATGAAGTTGATGGTTTTAATGTAAATTTCTCTTTGATAGTCATTTGCTTTTGACTTGAATTGATTCAGATAAGCATGAAAAGCCAGAAGTTTTATTATCGCCACTTGCAAATTTCTGTCATATTGTTCATAATTCATGCCTGGGAAACTGAGCTTCATTCTTTCTCTTTCAACCTCAATATTTTACTCTCGGCTCTCTTGTATTTTCCCTTGATGTTTTTTTTGTTTTTTTTCCATTAAACTGGATCATGTCTGAGACTAGTGGAACTTGCATTAAAAAGCTCCATTTGTTTACTACTGACTGGACTTGAACATATATGACTGTTTTCCCCTCCTGTCTTACATCATTCCACATGTTTTTGTCTGTGAATTTGCTTTGAGGTAGTAACTGTAAAGAGTTTGGTAAAAGTGTAAGTTTTTAAGAGAAATCTTGATGTGTTTTCAGTTGATTTCCAATGTTTGAACAAATATGTAGAATTAAAAAGAACAACCAAATAAAAATTAAGTTGGGTCTTTTTCACTTGTGTGTTTTTGACTGCTCCTGTAAAGCTAACAGGACTTGTGCGACTCGTAAGAATTCATCTAAATATATCATTTTGGATTATATGCATCTAGTCCTTTTGGGGACATAAATTTTTCTATTTGTTTTCCAATTTAATCTCATCACCATCTTGTTGATTGCAACAACAGTGATTGATGTTGCAATCAATGCTGTGTAATTTCTGATATCTAGGAGGTTGGGGTTATTTTCAATTGTGTAAATCCAATTTCTAAATGCATTTGTTATTGGTCATGCTGTAGTCACACCTAATCAAATTTATAAATTTTGACAGAAAATCCAGATTATACAAAATCGAGCAGTAAGTGGTTAAGCTTTGTGGCAAAGAACTGCATTTGTGATTCAATTGTGTTTCACTGGAATCGTAAGAAATGTATTCAAACTGAGTTTTGACAATTTCTTTATATTTATTTGTATATCACCAATGTACAACAGATGTTATGTAAATGTTACTGCATAATAAATGGGTCAAATTCAATCTTAGCTTACAGAAATATAAATCAAATCAATGTAATTCATACCAGTCCATTCATATGGACCGTTTTAAATGCAGATTCTACATTAGTCATAATATTCATACAATACAGTCCAATTCTGTTGGTCATATTTTGCTAATTAAGGTATTTAAGGAAGCCTAGCAGATTGCACTGAGTTACTGAATTCCCTGCAAAAGGGCATTATAATATGGTCTTAACTGTTTAGCTAAACTTCTTGACATGGCTTCATTATCTTTAAATTTATAAAGAGTAAATTCAGAATACAAAATAAATAGGACTTTTTCCCCTTGTGGGATGATTCACAGTATAGGCAAACTGGATTCATAAAGGTAACACACAGAACCAATAAAGTTTTATTTGAAGAGCACATATCTCCAAAGTCACTAGACTGCATTATCTTTTTTTTTTTTTTTTAAATAGGGTTATGATACAGAAGTATGATTAGCAATCCATAACAGAGAGCTATGTTGAAAACAGATGAAGTATCAGTTTATTTATAAAGTGATAAATATGAAAATAAGAGTGATTAAAAACAGTTGAACTTTTTGTGGAATCCATATTTCCACAGCACACTCCTCTGATTGGTCAATTTGTTGCTACCTGCAAATGGCAGCTGAGTCTTCGCTTTATGTTTTTTCTGAATTATATCTAATCATGTTCACGATGTAGACAAATCTAAATTACAAAATCAATGTTTTCCATCGTCGCAGAAACCTTAATGTCTTCTGCTCTTTAACATACAGAAAGACGATATATGCATCAGACGAGTGTCGCTCCTCAAACAGCGACACTGTTTGGGATTTTGTCCGGAGACATGTTGTAGTACGGCAGCTTCTTTTCCTCGTTCCTCCTTTTGATGGACCTGGTTATCTCTGCCAGTTCCTTCCTGAATTTTCCCATGGCGTCCTTTACTGGCTTCTCTATAAAGTGTTCGTCTGGATACATACCCAGATACAACTGCACAGAAAGAAACTTTGTTTAGGCAAAAGGCACGCAGCAATAAATAAATCTATACTCTTTAATTCAACTTTAAATGTCAATTTTAGCTCTCCCATCTATGCAGTTTAAATGGCAGCTTGTATTTTCTGCAAACCTCATTCTCCTGGTACTGGCTGAGGGCCCAGACGGCCCCCAGGTGCCAGCTGGACCGGCCGCGATCAGGAAGGCTCTCAATGATTGTTTTCACATCGACCTGCCCTTTCTCCTTCGGAGGGGGCTTCCGCATGGTAGAAGGGGCGTTGGGGATCCAGGAGCACCAGTCATACTACACATTGCATACAAAGAAGCAAAATGTGTGGAAAGTCTATTTTTAATTTTTTTTTTTGTCTATTTTGAAAAGTAAAAAAGAAATTCTTCAACAACCTACCTGTCCAAAATTCACGGCAGCATGCTGGGATGAAGCGGTGAATATAACGACAGTCAGGTACTCTACCAGTTCATCGCGTGTCTTCAGAGACTTTGGAAACTCTTTGCACAGATTGGAGGCAAACAGAATTGAGAAAGCAGTCTTTACAAAACCACTCAATTATTTTGCAAGCTGCGCTGTGAAAAGACCCTTGCACAAATGATGATAAACTACCGGATGACGTTACAACACCAACATTCAGGCAATGTCACCACAAGTCAGCTTTCCTGCGTCTCCCAAGCCCTGCAACCGTTTGTTTGTGAAGTGAACGTACCGCAGTGATCGAAGTCCTGCATCCCAAAGCTGCACACGTCTTTGACGAAGGCCTGGATTTCCTCGTCTCCCTGCACTCTCTCGTCACTGGTGTAGTAAATGCCGATCACATCAGAGACAAAACTGCCGGGGAAAGTAATAGAGGAATAAATCGCATACCCAACGTATACCCAATTCATTTTTTGATTTATTTCTTCAAAAGGACTTTTGGACCGGAAAGAAAGTTGTTTCTCACCTCTTAGTGGCTTCCCACACCTTGTAGCCATCATCCCTGTAGAAATAGGTGGGCAGCTCCTCCGTACTGTCCATGCCACGGCTCTTGATCATGTCAGGGAAGCAGAGAGACCTGAAGGTCAGCGTCTTTGTGGCTTTCTGGACAAGCTGGATGTGACCGCCTCCGCCGGTTGCATTGGCCTTGACAAAGCACATGAGAAAACATCTTATCCTTCGGCATAGATGGTTTTGGTTTAACTATTCATGAATGCTGTTTCTTTTTGTTTCATTTGAGTCTAAACCAAAATACTCAGCTGAATCTGCTAAGCTAGTCTGATTTGAAAATATGTTGTTTATACAGTTTTACAGACTTTTTTCTGCAACTTGATCAGGACGACAGAGAAACATTTCTAAACACCTGGAATTTGTGTACAAATAATAATAAGGATGTAATATATTTGTCTATAAATAAAGTGTTTGGACTGATCAATGTATTTTTTCAGAAGACTTCAGATGTTGTGAAATATCTGAAGTAATAGTAATTTGATGAAATCCCATCAAAAAGAAGAAGAATGAAATTCCTGCAACGACATTTCTAAAACTGATATAAGCAGCCACAGTTTTTGCTGCACAGTATCTCTAACTCCCAGAGATTCGTAGTAAGAAAAGAAAACATGATAAATTTGCCACTCTTTCTTGTTTAGATTGTCTTTCAGGAACTGTAAACTGTAATTTTTCTACTTTCCTCATGTTTTAAAGTTCATGACTTTAAAATATGTAGCCTGTGACTAAGACTAAGGAACACTTGTAAAAAAAAAAAATAATTCAACACAATCTCCTGGGAAGAGTGTGGTTTTAGTTCTCTCCACAGTTCTGGAAAAAAAACACCCTCTTATTATTTTCTCTTGTTGCTTTTGGACAGACGTTTTGCTCATTCCACATTATTTCAATGTCCAGAAACTAACCTTGTCAAAGATCCCGCACTCACAGATGAGCTGTTCTCTGGCCTTTGTATTGATTGCGATAGTAAAACGAATGTGCGGGATGAGTAGCTGAGAACAAAAAGAAAAGCAACCGTTCGATAAAACAATCAATTTATCAATCAATAAACTATCCCTGGCAGTGTTGTACCTTAAATACCGGGTGAACAGCTGGGAGCTGTCTGAACATGGCGATACCAAACACCTCTGTCATCAGATGTGTCCTGAGCAGGTGTGTGATATTCTGGTGGTGCTGGAAGTCAGCTGATCGTACCCAGATCTTTGCCAGCAGCCAGTCATACTGACCGTCAGTGGGAAGGAAGATTGGGTTTTCATCTGGATCCTGGCCAAGCTGAGAAAGACATAGCCAGAGTTCAGATACAGAAAGGAATCAGCTGAATTAGTCCCGCCTACAGTGGCCCAAGCTTGCTGTACCTGTATAGCTATGGGCAGGATCTTGTTCCGTAGGTTCCTGTACAGCAGACACATTGGAGCTGCCAGGTACTGCTGCGTGTACGGGTCTGTGGAGTTTGCATTAATGCCCTCTAACATGTCGTAGTCCACTATGAATATGTTACCTGCCTGGAAGCAGAACGCTGCTTTAAAGTGCACTTCAGCAGAGATGATCAAAAAGCTATAACTGTCAAAGGAAAGCCAAAAAGATTCATAAAAACAGAGAAATATCAACCTTAATTTCCTGCTCCAGGGTCAAGTCCCGCTCAAGGCTAACAGAAACCATCTCATTAGTGACAGGGAACTTGTCAGGGAGTTCGGTGCATTTGCAAATCAACACTGGGTTGCAACCATTCAGAAACTGATAGCCGAACATGAAGTCTTCTTTCCAGTGTTGCATCACATACTCTGAAATGCAAGCAAAACAAATTAATTTTTAAACAGCTATTAAATATACTTTTCATGAAGCCCATATTGCTGTACTAAAATGTTTTCCTTGATATGGCTAATGTGTTTTAATTGGGTGTAATCTGAAAATCATAATTAGCAGAAACAAATTAACTTCTCAATAATATTCAATTTTACTGAACTTTATATACACATAAAATTAATCTTAAAATGACAGCCTCACATGTGTTTTACTCAAGTAAAAGTCGTAACTTACAAAATCAATGCTTACAGTAGGTTGCTAGAATAAGTTATTTGTGGTGGTCAGGGTAGCCTGACATTTTACTCAAGTAAGAGTAATAATACATAATACAGTAAAACTACTATCAGTATTTTTTTTTCTTTCAAGAAGCCATTTGAGGTAGAGTGTGGTGATGCTAACCCTTTTAATTTAGCCAAACTTTGCCTATTTTTACGTAATAATTGTAGACTTACATTATGCTACATAAAATCAAGACTCACAGCATAACATTAAACAAAGCACAACAAAGGTAACAGAGCAAAACGTATAAAAGCCTAAAGCTAAGCTAGCACAGCATGGCATTAAAAAACATAATGTAACAGTTTAGCATTAATTAGCTTAGTATAGCAACAAAGCTTCTGTAATGTAACATTATAGCATTTTGTGGTGCATTAAAATCATGTAAGATTACATAAAACATAACTTCACATAAAATGTAGCTTAACATAATATAATTGAAGTTATCGTAGCCTAATAACTTCAAGTATCCTAGCAGTTTGTTATAGCATTATCTAAAACAATAGTCCCAATGTAGCTTAGCGTAGCATAGCATTACTTAACATAAGACATAGCACATGGAGCACACCCTCTTCGCAAGCCTGAACTGATAATATACTTTGAAGAAAAAAAAACAGTAGCATAATACAACACCACGCATATTAGCATAGCAAAGCATAGCTTATGTTAGCATTGCCCATAATATAACATTGTACAAAGTAGTGTAATAACTTTAATTAATGTGAAATGTTTTAGTGTAGTGTAATGGAACATAGCATAAACTAGCAGAACATAGTATAATATAGAATAACAACATATTGTAATTTAGAATATACAGCCTAACATAGTAGAGCATTGGGTAGCACAGACTAGCATAGCATGCAGTTACAGAAAAGAACAGAAAGTTCGTCTGACCTGAGATTGTGTTTTTGATTCTCACGAAGATTTTCTCAAAGTCAGCAAAATCGCTCCATGAAGACTGAAACATGTTCATGAAGCTGTTCACACACAAGTTCTCAATTCTGAAAAGACATCAATGGGATTATTAATTTATTGATATTTTTAAATCATTAAAATGAGTTTTAGTTGCACTTCACAAATAAATCTGATGGCTCAGGTTTTTGATATTTTGTCAAAGAGGCTAGGTGTGATCTTTTAAATAGAAGCAGCAATTCTAGCAATGGATTTGAAATAACAAAGCAGATCAGTACTTCAACTTTTAAATTTACAAGTTATTGCACATTTTGCACAATATCCTTTTATACATCGCGATGTTGTTTGTTATGATGCCTGTCAGCAAGTTCAAACTTCTGCCTGAAAGCACAATGCAAATATCCCATGTGATAAACACACAATGACACCACTGTTTCTTTTCCCCAAGGTAATTTATAACATAGCAGCATGCTCTGAGGCATCAGTTCTGCATCTGATTAAGGTTTCATGAAGGCCTTTTATTTTAAAAATACCCACAATGCAAATGTAGGTTAAGTAACCCTTCTTCATTGTACTGAGACAGACATAGACTCTACTGAAAAATGGTCCCTTTGTATAGTGTACATGGTTCTACTTACGCCTTACTGTAATTCAGAATAAAGTCCACTCCCTTTTCACTGTCAAACTGGATGTCTCGGGGGAGGTCCCTGTGTCTGTTAGCATCAATGCTCAGAGGGAATCCTGGCTGCCACTCTTTCCATCTACAAACAGAATAAATGTCATGAAAACAACCCGATCTCCTGCATGCATGCATGCAAACTTACCTGTAGGCTTTTCTTCTCTGATCCAGCTCTTTTTGTCTGTGCTGCTTTACTATGCTGGTTTTATCATCCTGAGGCAGAAATGCTAGAAAAGATGCAAAAGCAAGGTAAGGGCTTCAGCAGATGAGTGAGGCAGTTTTTTTTTTTTTTTTAGACAGACAGATAGGTAAATACCTCGTCCATCCCGCAGGACCACTTCCTTGTCATCCACCAGCCAGCGGAAACAGGGAAATTCCACATAATCTCCACATGGGGTCTTGATAGTGACGTACCTGCAGTACCAGTCGTCCTGCATCCAATATTTCTTCTTCTCAATCTTCACCAGTACGACATCACCCAAGTTCTCATCAACTTTCACATTATATGAGTCAACCTGTAGTTTATACAGAGGCTACTGTGAAAAACATGGGCTGTGGAAATGAGCTCACTCACTCAGAATCTGACATTTTTAAAACAAAAGTTAAAAAAAAAAAAGTTAAAGATAATCTCAGACTTGTTTTTTTTTAAAACAGCGTGTGTTCAACATGTTCAACAACAGCTTGCGTAGATCTAGTCAAGTCAATGTGGCTTAGAAATGTCCAAGCAATTTGACTATATTTGTGTGCAGTACAGCGACATTCATGGATGAAATTACTTCTACAAAATGTTTAGGCTTTCTTATCGTTTATCTAAACTATGAAACAACCATAACCCTAATGCCCTGACCCTCATCCCCCCCCCCCTTTTTTTTTTTTAATTTTACCATTTCTACTGTGCATAAAACAGTATCCAGTTTTTTAAATTATTTTTATCTTCTTCTTCTTCTTTTTTTTTTTTTTTAATCTTTTTTGAGGATTGTTGCTCCAGAAATGCTTGTCAGATCTAGGATAACTTTAGTTTAAATGTTAAAAAAAGGGTCTCCATAATTTACTATAAATTTCATACAAAAAAAATGTAAATATTCCTTATAAATTTATCTATTTGTTCTGAAATTTGACAAGTATTTTTTTTTTCCTTTTTGTTAGTCTGACCCGCTTCATTCTGAAGTAAGCCTAAACTTATTTTCCTGTCACTGCCCCATGAAGAAATGCAGTGACAATGCAACTTTAAGGTTGCATTATTCAAGTCTCTTTTACTAAATTTAATATTCTCAGCATTGATTTAGATTAGCCTCCGAAATTCAAAAAGAATTAGACATAAAATGTCATGATGAATTTTGGATTGAAAAGCACAGTTAATCTAAACCTTAAAAAAAGTTTTTTATATAATCAATGTTCTTGTTACATATAGTTTTTTTTTTTCCTGCTTCTGATGTTAAAAACATTTTTGTGATAATGTATCTGGAGAAGAACCTTAAAATTAAACTGGATTATAAAAAACCTCGAGTGTTTCAAATATATTAAAAGTTAATCAGTAATTTTCTGTCAAAACATGGTCCTTTTTAAATTGTAAACTGCTATATGAGTAAGCAGAAGAGACGTATCACCGCAGGCTTTGCAATTTCCAGAAGTTCACGAATGCTTCCTCAAATACCAAGTTTACCTTATTTTACAACTTCTCTGTTTTCCAACTACCTGGCCGCTCACGTTTAAAGCACGCGTTTGTACAGAACATCCAAAAAACAAAACAAAAAAAGAATGAAATTTCGCGGCTCCCACTTTGCAGTGACTCCACTTACCGCCCCCCTCTCGAAGTCGTTGTAGAGGGGTTTGTCCAGCAGTGTCCTCTCGCTGCATCCCTCCGTACCCACCAGGGTGATGTAGACATAATCGTCCGTCCCTGCAAACCACTGGCTCCCCGTGGCAACAGTTACTGTGTACGACGGCATGGCGGGTCACAAAACCCCAGGACCAAAAAATGCTCAAATGCCGTCTAAAGGTGAAGAAGCAGCAACAGTGTTACTCTCGAAAGGCTTTTGGCTCAGATGCAGCTCTGCCCTTCACTGACGTAAACTCAAAAATGCTAAAGCAGTGTCTAATGAGGCCAAAAGAGGAAGGAGATTTATTACAGTCACCTAGTCATCAGTGTCTCCACCCTTAAAATGAAAAAACCTTCCATGGGTTCTTATGCATTTTCCTAATGATATAAATATGACATCAGTTTGGAAAAACGTAGTGACAAAGGAAGAGGGTCTGCACAACTTGTGAAGGGGATTTTTCTATTTAGATTAATCAGAACGATGGTGAGGCGAGGTGTCAGAAGTATAAAGACATCATTGTACATTTATCTGAGACGGAAAAACAAACAAACACACACAGGCTCTTTGGAGAACATAAGGAAGTGAAGGGGCAGAAAGCTAGAAACAAATCGTGGTGCCAGTTTGGAAAACATCCCAACCTGGCACTAGATAGTGGGAGATAACAAAAATAAATAAATAAAATAACAAAAGTTCGGGTTTTTTTTCTCTCTGCAAAGATAAAAATAAAACGTAATTATAGTTTTTAATCTGGATTTTACTCATAATAAGGAAATGAGTCTCATTCATTTACCAGTCAAATTAGTGCATGTTGTTCAACAACAGTGTATTTCTGTGCCAGTAAAATAAATGCAAATGTTAAACACAGCCCTGCCGTGGTTTTAGCCATAAAACTGTGACATAAAGAGTAACAGGAATCCTCCATAAGTCCGAAACCCAGTCAAATGGAAAACGGAGAAGGCGGAAGGTGCGGCACAAAGGAGATGGTGTTGCACATCGGTTATTCAGCAATCCAAACGAAACTTTGAATAAATCCTGAGATTCAGACGCTCGTAATTCTCAAAATGTTTTATCTGCTTTATGCGACATCAAACAGACTGAAAAGCATCTCCACAGAACATACATGAGTATCTGCGCATTCAGAAACAGCAGCACTGTGAAAAGAGACGTGGCAGCTATCAGAGGATGATGAGCTGCTCCAGACTTTATTCTGTTTCCTAGATGGCGGCTTCAAACTCTCCACAAAGTGTGAAATTACACCCCAAAGAAGTAAGGAACACTTACAATGAAAATGTATTTTATATTGAAATAAAAACACTTATTGCACTTCACTATGTTGAATGTATGAATAATAAAGTCTCCCTTTGTTCAAGTCATTTTAAAACAATATACTTTTCAATCATTTATGGGTGCTTTCTAGAACTTTTTTCACTTTCTGCTACGCAACAACCACAAATGGCAACAACCTTCTGTGTGACAAACCAACACAAAGTAGCACGATTGTGAAGCGAGACAAAGAAAAATGACAGTTTTCCATTTATTTATTTATTTTACAATGAATTATCTAAAATGTCTTTTGATTTTTAATTGAGCTCATGTGACAGGGGGATCTGCCATCTAGTCCAAAAACTGGGCCTGATCTCTCTAATGTTTGCTATGTTGTGCATGGTTTATGGCCACAGTGAACTTGTCTTCTTATTGTTTTATTTCAGAATTGGCTTTTTCTTCTGCTACTCTTCTGTAAAAGTCCAATATGTGGAGCACACAGCTAATAATTTTCAAACTACCAATAGTCTCAGGTGCTTCTCTGATTAACACTTTTCTTTTTCTTCCTTCGTTTGCTGGATTTTACTTACAGGAGGTCAGACTAAAGGATCAAGGGCTGACTACATGTTCATGTTCCTCTTGTCACACTTTTGTCTTAAAACCATGACACCGTTCTAGAGGCATTTCAAATTTCCACACTACTTTGTGTTGTTGTATGACATAAAATCTCACTAAAATACATAAAGTTTTGTGGTTGTGACGCAACAATGTGGGAAAAACAAAGGGGTATAAATGCTTTAGCAAGGCACTGTGCTTTATTGTTCATTTGCAGTTAATTATAAACACGATCAGGGATCGCCTTTAACGATTAAGACAGTCCAACATAGAAGAGGTCCTTTGTATAGAAATGTTTTTCAAATTACTTTTGCTGTAAAGAAAACTGGAAAATTTCCTGTTTTCAGGAAATGAAGAGCTTAGTTTCTTCAACAGCTTTTTTCTTATATAAAGCCTATTTGGGCTCCCTAAAATTATTAAAGACAAAATAAAGAACAAAAAAAAAAAACAACTGCTAAGGTACTGACTGCTGTTAAGAGGTAAATAGTCTGTTTTCCGGTTCATTCGAATTTAGATCAAGCTGTAAATTTCTTCTTTTCTTTCGAAGAAATTTAATTCTTACAAAATAATAGCTAGTAAAAAAAAACATCTCAGTTGACTGAAATCTGGGGTTAAAATTATTAAATAGCAAATAGCTACTTAACAGCAGTAATAAGTTTTGTTTTATTGTGTCTGATCAGGCCAAATCAAGCATGTAATGTCCATGTCTGAGGTTTGCAGTCCGCAGGGCTGGATAACCATTTACATCTTGTTTCAATACTGCCACCCAGTGGCAACATGTTGCTAAAGCAATAAATAAAAAGCTTCAGTGCAATTTAAACCTGAGTTCCCTGTAAAATATTATGGTTGTACATCAAGCGACATCGTCACAGTTGCAACAGACTCATTCTTGACATTAAATGCGTGTTAAGAAACATGAACGCATGTTTAAAACAGAAACAAAAAATTGCTCCATTTCAGACCTGAAAATTAAATGGAAGGCCGTTTTGAGACATCATGTGGCACGCACAAACAGTATTTATGCTGATTTGTACTGAGAAAGCAAAAAAATAAAAAATAAAAATTTTCCTAAGTACTGCATTACAAAACTAAAAACACCCTCATTCAAGGGTGTACAAAGAAATCGTAAATGTCACCATTTAGCAGCAGCTACCTCTACTTGGTAAAACTTACAAAAGAAAAGAAAAAAACATCTAAGGATATAATTGAGCAGCTGTACCATGACAAACACTCATAATAATTTAAAGAACAAAAGCAAATTCTTTCATCCAACAGAAAGAAACAAAAAGTGCTTAAAATGATTTAATTTGTGATAAATGATTAAAAAGTGATTGAGTTTGCTAAACATTCCAGGGCTGCTTTGGCGCTGCTTGCATAACTGATCAAGAAATCGTAAGGATGTTTTAAAACCAAAATGTTTTCAGTAATGATGCAGATGGAAGGGGAATTACAGCCTCCCGCTGTTCGACACTATAGATCCCCTTTGTCTTTACTATTGACTCTCCTGGTTTCTTTGGGGAGCTGAACTACAATAAGACATACCGAGCGAACTCGCCGATTGAGCGGCAACTCCGTCAGGGAAACGCGGAAGCTGATCGGGTCAACGATCTGATCGTTCAGGCTCAGGAAGAGACTAGTTCAGATGGAGGACTTGCTTCATGAACTCGTAGGTGGTGAAGGCCATGGCCTGTGAGGGCACGCAGCGGATGTAGTTAAGAGAAAGGCCTCGGTATAGTCCTCTCTTGATACCGTATGTGTTATACACGTACTTCAGAGTCTTGAGAGGCGATCTGTGCACATGCAAGACAAACAACACTGTTATTTTCGCAACGGGACCCACAAATAAGAAATAAAACACAGAATCGAAGACAATTTTCTGTTTGCTTTGAGAGCAAGTATTTCAAGTACGCAGAGCGTCATTTGGAGTCTTTAAAAATGTATTCTAAAATTAAATGAAATCTCTCAAGGCTAATAAAACTTTGCTGTTTCTGGAAAATCTGACAAAGAGAAGTAGTTAAAAGCGAGAACAATGAGTCGTGTTTGGAAAAGTATTCAGTGAACCTTTCCAGGAATGAATGGTATGTTGCTGGAGCCTGACGACTCGGGGTGCTACTTAGATTTAAGCTTGTTTCATAACACAAAAAGTTCTCAAATATTTGGATCCTCACACATCCCATCATGTTTCAACCACAGATTTTAACACATTTCACTTGGATTTTATGTGATGGACCAGCACAAAGTAAGGCTGCAAGATATTAGGTAAGTCAGATAGCCATATGATTTAAGATATATTTTTTAAAAAATAAACAACCCTAAGACTAAACATACAGATAACGAGTAGTCTGAGCAGCTATTTGGGAAAAACTTAACAATAAAGTTTTAACAGAAAAATTTTGTATAAAACGTTTTGCATTAAAAACCTCTTCTTGGCCATATTTTCGTCTTATGACAATTGTCACCAGCAAATCCGTACAGTGATGTTATACAGCCCATCACACAGCAGTGCATTAGTGAAAAGTGAAACCTCGGTGGAAGCACCTCCTGCAGCTTTTACAGCTGCATGTCCCTTTGGGGTCCCTTAAGTGTAAATTTAGAATGAAAGATTCTAAGAAAATATTCTTGATTAAATATTCAAATATTTAGACGAAACAAAAGTTATGATATCATCTCACTGCAAAACCAAACTATGACAAGTCAAACCAGCAGCGATACTCACCCACATTTATCCGAATCAGGAAGCGCAGTTCCTAACTGCATCCTCCTCCTTGCCACATCCAAGGGGTAGCTGGTGAGGAAAGTCCCGTCATAACACAGAAACCAGAAATGATGAAGTTGAGTTATTAAAAATCGGAAACCGACCCGCGTTTGACTCGGTCGGAGCTCAAAACTCCAACACGTCCGTCAAGGAAAGCACTTACGAGATAGTCTGAGCGAAGGCACCAGCAACGCCTCCACAGAGCAGGTTGATGTGGGTTTTCAGAACGAGCACGTCTGGGTTGTCTGACGAGGGGCGGCCCAGCTGCTCCGGGAAGTGCTTTAAGCCTTGACTCTTCAGGGTGCCAAAGGTAAAGAAGGAGAGCCCTTGGAGGATGCAGAGAGAAATAAGAGACTGGCTAAACACGTGGAGGACATTTTTGCAAGCACCTTTGAACAACAAAATCAATGCACCAAAACTCACCTGCATAAGGCGCCATTCCAACAAGAGTTGGAGTCAGGCCTCTATAAAATCCAGATGCGCCCTCCTGTGGAAAGGAGTTAACAGGTAAACAGAGAGTAAGCAGAAACTTACAATCTGACGTAACATTTTAGTTTAAATTAGCAAAGTTCATCAAAGGTAAATCACCTTGTGATAAATGGAGCGGAAAACATCAATAATTCCAGAGTAGCGTTGATCACCCTTCACCTGGAAGGCCAGCCGGGCTCGGACCACGTCCAGAGGGTAGGTGCATATCACCGCAGTCATGCCTGAAAACACATAAGCAAAAGATCATGAGATCACAGTAAAAAAGAAAATAAAATACAACACTATCTGTGCCAGTAAAGCTTGGGGCACCGTGATAAGAGGTCTATCTGTACCTGCCATAGATCCTGCCACGAGGCGATGGATGTGTCCAGAGATCCCAATCCGTTTATTCAGCAGCTATGAAGAGATCGTCAACAATAATGCATCAAAAATAATGCCTACACGGGAAACGCATTCATAAACATAAAACATAATGTTGGACTAGAGAATTAATGATAAAAGACTCACTTTACCTTTTTATATTTGTCAAAGGCCATAAACTGAATGGCTCCGTAAGGAAATATCCTGACCATCATCGCACCGTTACCCCTGTACAGGCCCAGGACGCCTTCTTTCTTTGGCACAGCCATGAAAGTGGAAAACACCCCTACAGAGAAAATTCACAAGATTCACTCTGGTGATAAACTAACTTGTTAAGAGTTAATTTGCTTGTTTGGCAGTTAGTCAGTATTTTACCGAGATGTTTGTAATGGGGGTTCTGGCCCTGAAGAAGAATTTTGACTCTGTCTAGGGGGGCGATGGTAGTCTTCGCGCAGCATCCTGCTACACCTGTAAACAGAACAATACTCTTACATAAGCATGTAAACAGAATGTCAGGCTTCATGCCTGAAAATACAAACGTCTCAATCGCAGCTTGTGCAGAATACCACAATGTCAGTTGTTTAAGTTTTCAGTTGTTTATTTTTTTTTCTGTGACATTGTGGCATTTTAATTCAAGTGAGAATCAAATTCAGGTCAATGTGTACGTGCATGATGAAAAGCTAGCCACTGAACATCACTATCCTGTGTACTGGCTATCCTTATTTATGAAAAAAAGGGAGAAAAAAAATAATATTCCATAGGGTCAAAGAATTTGGTTACCAGCATGTCAAAGGGGAGAACTCTTTAACCAGCTGTCATTAAATTTATTATATAACTGATTCTTTTGGTCACAGTTTTCAGTTGTTTAATTATTACTAGTGATTTTATTGAACTTACCACACTCTTCTTTTTAATCATTGCATTTGTAATCATTTTGACAACCATGTATGAAACTGGAACTTTTTCATCTGATTAACTAGGTCAATCTGCCTAGAATACATGGATCTACTCCCCTCCCCCCTTTAACCTTTAACCTTTTGGATGCATAAGCTTGGGATAATCACTATACAGGCTCATCATCTTCAGTGCTCTTCTACTTTTACATTATCTGATATAGTTTTACAAATGAATATCCATTCCTGTATTATATTAGTTTGTTGTTGTTTTTTTGTATGAAAGGGCAATAAAGCAATATAGGAAGTGATTTATACAAAACCATTTTGTTTAAGATTGAACCCTCCCGAAACTGCCCTGAACATGATTAGTAAGATGATGCATCATGTCATACCTCCAGCCACAAAGGAGCGAAGCCAGTAGTAATCTCTTTTAGCAGGTGTACTGCTGCTGCTGGTAGGGGAGGGTGTGGAGACAGCAGCCTCCGATGTCATCCTCTCTGCTCAGGAATCTGACACATCCATGCCTATCAAGTTTAGTGAAAACACTGTGAAATATAAACTATTGGATCTAGACGAACCATAAAGCACATGTCAAAACTGCAAAATTACCTTAATCCAGAAATAACAAACCTATAGCAACATATGAACTGAAACTTAAGCGAAACTAGATCTTCCTGAATTATTTCATTTAAATTTGACCAACTGTGGAGGCTGTTTTCACAGACCGAAACGGTCACACTGGTTATAGGAAATGTGTGCAAGATCACTGTCGGTGATTAGCATCCACGCCCACATGGAGCTTCAGCTAAACGGCAACACTAAATGACAGCTGCAATAGAAAATAATAAAAAAAGATACTTACAAACTAATGGGAATCGGAAAGCAAACAGTCAAAGCAGCATCAATAGTGAAGTTTAACGATGTTTTTCAGTGGAACAAGAACCTGCACCTTCACAGCTTTCCCCCTCATCTTCTCCTATACTCGTTGAGACCAAATGACATAAGGGATAAAGATGGCTACGAGCTACTGAAAGGTTTGTGACGATTGCGTCGTAAGACAAATGTATGACTGAGACACGGTATAGTGTCTCAAAATATGAGGAGTTACAACATCTGTGCCCTTCGCCCTCAGACGACTAAGGGCTACCGGATATAAACAGTCGCAGGATATTGACGCAAGATGACGTTTCCGGTTGCGGATATGGGAGGGACCATAGAGCCGTGTGAGCTCTAGGAGAGTCAGACTGTGTCTTTAATGACATGGTAATACTAATACCGGCCATTTCTTTTGAATGTATTTATTGCTATTTTATTTAAACGATCACATCTGTAAATATCTACTTGAACAATGATGTGTTTCCCAGAACAAATGTAAAAAAAAAAAAAAAAAAAAAAATCTATCAATTTTTAAGTTTCTAATTTCCAAGATATGTATTCCAAATACTTAAGTATCTGTTTAATACTTGAGCTGCTGCTTTGTACAGTTATTTAGTATAAAACCTGAAATTATACAGAATAATGGCTATGAGAAAAATGCGTATTCAGCAGTCTTTTGTATGAAAAAACAGAAAAATCTAAAATATGACAAAAAAAAATATCTTGATATCTCGTGGTTTTGTAATACAACATTTCAATTCTTGCAATCAATAGCCTTTTACTTTCAAATCAGATTTTATGTAAGCAGATTTTCTATTTGTAACAAAAATATGTAAAACTGTGACTCAAGTCAAAACAAAAGCAATGTTCACCCTTCCGTTTTTAAAGTAGCTTTTTTAAAATTCATTTTTTTAAACCAATTGAATGAATCATGTTCCAGTAGCTGACAAATTTCGCAAGGTGGAGGATTTTATTTTTGTCCAATTTGAATCATATCCTATTGACTGTTTGCTCTGCTATCAATAACACTGACTTGATTATGTCTTAATTTTAGAGTATCAATAATTCTGGCTCTTTCAGCAAGCTCCCTTAAAAATCATTTTATGATCATGCAACTGACTGTCATTTCCTCCTTCTTGTGAAACTCTAGAATCCAATCAACCATTTGAACTGGTGGTGGACTGTTGCAGGCACAGAACCCACCACACTGACACAGAACATCAAGTGAAAGGACTGATGTCGTTTGGAGTGCAGGGGATCTCCTGAAAATCCTTGTGGACTCAGTAGCCACATTGGTCATCTAATGTTGTCTGTTGAAGCAGGAGTTTATCTAAAACTGAACAGAAGCGGTTAGATAAACTCATCAGGGCTAACAGTGTCTTCCACTCCATGCAAGGAGCTGTTACTAAAATGGAGAGCGACAAACTGCTGCATCATCAGTGCACAAAGGAACGTTACCGCAGCTCCTTCCTCCAAACAGCTGACAACCACAGATCCCAACAAACTTAAACTCAGCAAGTGTTTACATCCGTGCTTTTTATTATTTGCAGAGTTTTTCCTAATTTAATATTACATCCGTATTGGTTGCACAGGTTTTTCCAATTCTTGTAAATAGTTTATTGTTATTTTTTATTTACAAATGTCCCTGCACATTTCATTCATCATCCTACTCCGTTGCATAATTCTTTGAATCTGAGGAAGCTATAAATATTTAAAGGGGGAGTATTATGTAAAATCAACTCTTTTTGAGCTATTGTGTTCTAATGTTATGTTATTTCTTCATCAAAAACATACCTGTAGTGTTGCTTTGATTCTTTTATACATGTTTGATGAATCCTTGAATCTCATGGCAGCCATCTGGGGTGCCTAAACGCTTGATCTCGCAAATCTCCTCCTTGGAGCCGCAGTCTCCCCCAAGCTCCTCAAAACTAGCGGCAGCAGCAATTAGCAAACACGTGTTGGAATTGTGACAATTCCAACACGTTATAACAATACTACATCTCAGTTCAATTCTACTACTATATGACAAACATGTCGGTCCTTTATTAATTTTTTATAATGTAAATTTGCTCTTAATGTACAGTATTTTACATAGGCTATTTATTTTGTTATAAATCTATTTAAACTACAAACTCCAACGGATCTACTGACATTTTATGCGATAAGCTGTAATTGTGAAGGGCAAGAAAAAAAAAACTTTTTACTAGCTGTGTAATAAACTGACACATAATGAGTAAAAAAAAAATGTTTCTAAAACTTTGCGAGGTTATTTGATTGACCCGTTACTTTTGACACAGTCCTGCTGCGTTCACGTGTCTGTACTCCATTTCGGGTTTTCCAGTCCTCACAAAGAGCTCTCGGCCAGCTCAGAGACCGTGGGCTGCGTCTGGTGGAGGGAGAGTGAGCGGGGCTGCCCTGAATGGATTGACAGAAGAGGGATTTACATTTCAACGTAGCGTCGTGCTCCGCAAAGACTTTACACGGTAGCACGGCTGGAAAAGCGGCGGTTCTGTTCGGTGCCCGTCCCCGGCTTGTCGGTACTGGTATCATGTCCATGTGTCACCCCCGGGAGAGGATTGAACTTAGCAGCGGTCTATATTTACCGAGGAGGGAAACCAATACAAGGTCTCGCCGTCTCGCTGGAGCGGAGTATTATTAGCGGTCCAGGCAGTGCAACTGTCTCTCCCTCTCTCTCTCTTTCTGCGGTATGTAAAGCATTTCGGTCTGTAAACGTGTAAATAAAAACCCACTCGGGTCAAAGTAGTAAGGGCTTTGGCAAAGCGAGGTTTCCAGACGCGCAGTGCTTCGTGTTATTTAAATGACAGCGGTCAAGTGCAAAATAATAATAAAGAGCGACGCTGAGGGCGGTTTTTACACAGTAATAACCCCCTCTTCCGCCAGCCAGGAAGACGAAAACAGGATCCGACCTCCGGACAGAGCCCTCTCTCCTCGACGGGCCTGCCCTTTAAAATGTTAAAGCCTCTCCATGTTTGTTTTATGGACTTCGTCTGATTATTTCTCGTCTTTTTTTTCTGTTTACGGCTTTATTGACATCAGCCCCTCGGCACATGCACATCGGAGTGGCTATTTTAGGAGGGGCAAAAGTAAAAACGAATGCAGTTGGATTTAAACAACTGATCTGTAAGAAGTTATTTCAATTTTATAGCATTTAAACTTTGTGTGGCTATATTTTTATTTGTTTGTCCATTCTGTCTTCATAGGTGATGCTCTGCAACTGCCAGCTAACATTCATTATAATTTACAATTCGAGGATAAATCATAATAGAAGAAGGGTTTAAAATTTTTTTTATTTTTTTTCTGAGCGAGAGATAAACAATTACCTGGCTCCCATGCTGGCTGCCAAAGGTCCTCTCCTTTACACCCTCAGCCATGCCTGCACCTACCAAGCCAACCAGGAGACACACACCTGCTCAGAGAAAAAAAGCCCAGAGAGGGACCAGCACCAGGGGCCAAACCTGTAACACACAGAAAACACCAGCAGAATCCACACGGTCAACTTCGAGAAACAACCAGGCCAAATCAGGCTGGAGACCTCGTGGAAGCGGGAAGAATCCCGGGAGGTCCCCTGGCAGAGGTAGCCATGCCGGAAATGTAACGGGATCTACTAGACTTAGACGGTCGAGCAGTGTGCCCGAAAACCCCCTCGGGCCGAGGAAGTCCCAACGGGGAACGCAAGTGTCTGTTGCTCCCTGCCAGTCTCCGAAAGCGTTCACAGGAGGGAAAAATAGCAGGAGGGGGAGCAGTCGGAGAAGAGCTGCATCCCGGCAACAAAACACAAGTAACAAGCCCTCAAGCATCAGCATCAACAATTCTCCTCCTGATGGAAAAAATGAGAAACCAGACAACAAAGAACCCCCCAGAATGCATCATGAGGCTGGTGTTGAAGCTGCGGCAAGTCTTGAGCCTAACGATGCCATAGAGGGCAGCTCTCTTGAAACTGACACACGCAGAGGCGATTTGCAGCACAGCTGTGACAGCCTTATAACTGAAGATGAAAAGTCTTTCAGCAATAACAGTGAAGGGGACTCGAAGCCAGCTACTGAGGTCACAGCTTGTGACGACAGTGATGGACGGGTAGGTGACGGGAGTGGAGATCACACCTCTGGCTCGTCAGAATTAACAGGCAGCGGCTCCCCGGGGGCACAGGGCAGCAGTGAGAAAAATGGCACTTCATCTGTCCATGGTAATGAGCTTGATCATCTTGACAGCAGTGGTAAGCAAGATGATGGGGGCGCTGTCCAACAAGAGGAGGGCGAAGAGCTGGCCATGAAAGCGAGTAGGACAGATGAGAAGCCGCTGGTTGTCATAGAGAGAGATGTTGAGAGTTTGGAAGCAGAGACGGAGGTTGAGAGACAAGACGAGACAATGATAGTGAAGGAAGAAATTGCTGTGAAGCTGGGAAGTAGTGAGAGTGAAGACATTTGGGAAAAAGACACCCAAACCAACACTCCAACATGTCAAAACCCAGATCCGATTCATTGTAACCTACTGACGGCACAGTCAGAGTCACCTGTGCGTGTATTCTCCAATGCAGCTACCTCATATCCCACCAAAGCTCTCTCCACCTCAGATTTGTGTGAGCTGGAGGTTGTGAACCAGGCAAAGACTGATCTTCGACCAACCGTTCATGGTGCTAAGCCTCAACTCGCAGGGTCTTCGCCTAACTCTGATGCTGCTCTGAAGGGGCAGACCGTTATAGTGACTAGAAGTACTCCGGTTATCATCTGTCGGGACTCTCTGCAGCCAAGAAGTCTAGGGAAGTCTGATCTAAGAGAAACGCCTGTTGCTGGGGTAGAGAAGCAAGCTTGCACACCAGGCGAGACCAAAGACAAAGGTGAAATATATAAAGAGCCACAAAAAGAGAAGCCCTTTCCCTCCTTTATGCTACTTACCGAGGCAAACACCAAACCCCCCACAGGAAAGCATGAACCAAACTTTGTTGTGGATGGCACTCGGGCAGCAATGCCAGAGGATGATCCTGTGCCAAAGATCTCAACTTCCTCCGTAGACAGCAGCTCCACTTTGTCCTGCTGCTCGGAAAGCACTCGTTCCTCGTTTTCCTTTGACACCGAGTCAGAGACCGGGTGCGGCGATGCCAGCTTCTCCGCTCTGCCTGGATCCTGGGGGCCAGAAGGGATGGGCTCGCTCGCCTGCCTGACTCTGACATCAGAAAGGAAGGAGAGGAAGAAGCGCAGCAGGTGTGGGGCGTGCGAGCCATGCCTCAGGAAGATTAACTGCGGCCAGTGCAGCTGCTGCCTCAATCGCAGGACCGGCCACCAGATCTGCAAGCTTAGGAAGTGTGTGGAGCTGAAGAGGAGAAGATCTTCATCTGTAATCAGTCAACGTGACGCACAGGTAAGACATGTAAAATTCTTTGTTACCCCACGTGAATAACAAACTTTGGTCAGACAATGGATTTTACGTTAGGAATAAAATTAATTAACACAGATCTTCTGCGGACAGCTGATCGGAGGCGGTTTCTGCCCTGTGGCATCGATTCTTGTGATCTCTGAGGTTTCCTGCCCACTGATAAAAGCGATGATTGAGAGTTACTAGAAACAAACAGTTGAAACAGAAGCTTTCACTTTCAGATAAATGAACTTCTCAGTCGGTGCTATCAGATGGTGAGCTTTGTGGTGTTTTCCTGTTAAATGTTATGGCTCGTCACTGAGAGAAAGGGGAAGTATTGCCTGGGCACATGTGTGTTTGGAGGATAGAGATCCGACTGTTGGACGGGAAGCCACTGGCACATGACTGCCGGCAGTTTAGCACATGTTTAAAGAACAGCCCTGTTTCACATGCCTACGTGAATGAGTGTGTTTGTGTGTGTCCTCAGTGTTGCAATCAGGAGAGCAACTTTCAGCAATGTGTGAGGACAGATAATAAAGCCTCCGAAGACGAAGGCACTCAAAACTGTTGTAGATAAATTTATATAAAGAGTTCAATCTTAAAGTGAGTCTCCCCTCAATTTATGAGCAGCATTTGTGTTTTGGATTTAGTCTGCCTCTCGGATGTTTCAGGCTTTTAAGGTTGACAGTCTTGATGAGATCAGGGCTTTGTGGCCATCTGCTTCAGGACTTATTTTACGTCTTACTGCTGAATATAGTTCTTAATGCCATTGCTTCCATGCTGTAGGTTGCTATGTCTCTGAACTGTCTGTTGTTGTTTGAATAAGGACCTAATGCAGATCTCTTCAAGATATGTGAGAAGCATTGAATTCCACTGGCATAATCACACAGTGATGCATATTCCTACCCATAAACAAGCCAATTTCTCCCTGTATTCCTCTATGTCACACCTTGCATGCCAAGTAATTCTACCTTGTTTTACTGGCATGTTTTCCAGGTTGTGTACACGTATCTGCTCTTACTGTAGAATACGTTTCTGTTTCTCTGGTCAAACATTTTGCTGATTTATGGAGTAAAAAGAAAAAGAAAACTAATTTGTCATTTGACCAAAACAGTTCCAGCTAAAGTCTTAGCAAACTCCACATATTCGTGACTGAAATGTTTTTCTCTGACATCATTCTTAAGCAAAGAATTGGCATGTAGACACCATCTGATGCGGTGACTATCAAAGTCGTTATGGTAACACTTTAATGAATAAATACAATTTTTTAGGTACCACTCTACTGTCAAACTAATACAGAATTACAGTAGCAGTTAGTTGGACCTTTTCTGTTTGTTTTGTTTTGTCACAAAAAAGTAAAGGAGAAAAACATCTTTGTCCAATTTACAGTGTGTGTTTGAACAAAAAATGTCAGAGTTTGAAACTGTAGAAATAAACAGGAAGGTCGACTAAAACCAGAATTCCAGAAGGGATTTTCAAGCTGCAACCAGAAAACGGTTCTGTTCAGCTTGATGTCTCAGATCCGACGGCATACTTCAGAAGTAAATTAAATTTAGCAAAAGTGCCTACCTTGGCCAATAGAGTGGAGGACCCTATTTTTTTAGGTCGTTAATATTTAGCTGTATTTTCCTTAACTAACCAGAATAACTTACGTGATAGGGATAGTAAATACTACTTTTACATTCTCATTGGTCAGAAGAAATGACTTTATTTGGCATCTTAACTTGCCTTAGTAATAACACACAGCCTACTTACTGTGAAAAGAATACTGTGATTTCCAGGAAAGGAAGCAGTTGTAGGTAAATTACTCAGCATTACATTGTCTATATTAAACACAGCAGCATTTTCGTTTTCAGTCATTTCTTTGACCACTGTCTCCGTTCTTGCAGATCGGCGCTGCCTACGTTAAAAACACTACTAGTTGCGTTTTAAATCATTTCTTGCACCACTGTCTCGTTTCTTGCAGATCGACGCTATGGCATGGCGTTGCCCTCGGGCAACAAACCACATTTCTGTACCTCACGTTGCTCCTTTATTTTTTTGGGGGGGGTTGATGATTTAAAATACCTCCAGACATATTTTTGTCCAAATAAAAGAGGTGTTGAGGTTCATGTGACCTTTTACTTAGAAGAGGAGCAGTCCTTTTAATGAAGCAGAGGTGCATGCTACACCTTGCCTCCTACTTGTAAGTTATACATCACTTTTCTTCATGTTTAAATTTGGGTCACTAACTAAAAATATTTTCATATCTGTGAGTATGTAAAGAAGCATTATAGATCATTTCAAGACATTTTTTTTAAATTATTTATATGCAAAAACTGTGTTTTTTTGTTTGTTGCCTCAGGGCAACATTGCTCAGTTAGGGCCCTTTCGCTGAGACAATATTATTCTAATGCGATGATATGCAATTGATTACAAAATAATTATTAAAGGCCTTTTTTTTTACTTTATTATTGACTAACAGCAACAGGAGATAGATGCAAAACCATTTCATGGACAAAATGTGCATGGTTCATAAGCTGGGGTCATTCCCAATGAAAACATGAGGATCCATTGTAAAACCATTATTTCATTGTTTGTTTATCCTCAAAACTAACTTCAGTCCCAAAGGGAGAAGAGCTGGTCATCAATGAACAAATGGCCCCATTCCAAGGCAGGCAAAGACTGAAGCAATACCTGCTAAACCCAAATATATGGGT